GAGCTTTCCTCTATTACCTGCAATGCTTTAGCAGATTTATTAGATTTTAATGCAATTGATTTACCTTTCTTTTGAGGTTCATCTTCCTCAAATTCAATTTCATGACTCCTCAGTGAACTTATTAGTTCCTCCAAGGAAATCTTGTTCAGATCTTTAGCCATTTTCAGCGCAGTCACCATAGGTCTCCATCTGGTAGGTAAGCTTCTAATGATCTTTTTCACATGATCAGCAGTAGAGTATCCTTTATCCAGAACCTTTAGTCCAGCTGTAAGTATTTGAAATCTGGAGAACATAGCTTCAACAGATTCAGCTTCAACAGATTCAGCTTCTTCCATCTTAAAGGCTTCATACTTCTGAATTAGAGCCATAGCCTTTGTTTCCTTGACTTGAGAGTTTCCCTCATGAGTCATCTTCAAGGACTCAAACATGTCAAATGCAGTTTCTCTATTTGTGATCTTTTCATACTCAGTGTGAGATATTGCATTTAACAATATTGTTCTAGCCTTGTGGTGATTTCTAAATTCCTTCTTTTGAGCTTCTGTCATAGATTTTCTATCTACTTTCTTGCCATTCCCATCAATGGGATGAACATATCCATCTATGACCAAATCCCATAAATCAGCATCATAACCAAGGAAAAAACTTTCAATCCTGTCTTTCCAATAATCAAATTTCTCCCCATCAAACATAGGGGGTTTAGTGCTGATTCTGTCCCTTTCTTCATATTTGTTGTTAATATTAGATATTGAAGTATCAACCATAGTAACAACCAAATATATATCAAAGTTTTTCTCACTGGATTTTTTCTGTCACTGTGAAGTGGTAGCACACACAGAATCAGGCTCTGATACCAACTGAAGGTGAGAAAATACTTAGAAGGGGGGTTGAATAAGTATGAAGATAAAAACTTAGAAGTAAAAACTCAAGTATTTTTATCCTGGTTCGTTGAACTCAACTACTCCAGTCCACCCTTTCTAGAGTGATTTTCCTTTCTCAATCAAGGACTTAATCCACTATTTAATCAACTGATTACAATAGTAAGCACTAAGAACAACTGTTCAAAGTCTTCTCAAGAACTACTGATCCTAACTGGATCTTCTTAAGGTTTTCTTACAATCAAATGTAATAACAAATACAAGTGTTAAGATGCTTCTAATAAAGCTTTATCACAACTGTGATTTTTCACTTAAGATTAAGAACAAAGAAATAATTCTAGAAAGAATATATGAGTTGTATGAGAGCTTTGCTAATGAATTCTTTTCAGGGTATTTCGTCAACTGAAGAAGATGAGTGGAGACTTGCTTTTATAGGCACAGTGATCCAAGAGTATTTCACGTTGAGAAGTGTGTACCAAAAGGTTTGAGCCTTTTTGTCTTCACATCAAGTGACTTTTCCTAGAAGAAGAAAGCACAGACAAATCCTTTTTGTCTGTGTTCTTGTGTCTAACATAAATAAGGAAAGAGTCGTTTGGATATTCCAACGGACATAATCTTTGAATTCTTCTTCAACAATTTTCAGCAAGAATCATCAGAGTCTAATTTGATCAGAGCCTTCTAACATTAATCAGAGTTTTGCTGAATCAGAGTCTTTGCAGCAAGTGTGCTTTTAGTGTGTATAAGTTCAGAGCAGAGTTTTGGGTCAGATCCTCAGTACTGGCAATGTTAGTACTATCAGAGTCTTCTGAAGTAACTATGCTTGAAAACTCTTCATACGAAATTCTTCATTGGTTCAGATGCTTCTGAATTGCTTCAGATTCTTCTGGAGCTTCTGCTTTAGATCCTTCTGGAGACAACACTCAGGATCTTCTGATGGCAGCGTTCAGAATCTTCTAATGGGTGCATCTGACGCTTCAGAGCCTTGCATATTTCTTATGTTCAGATCTGATTTGCTTCTGGAGTGATATTTACTTTAATATCTGCAGCAAACACTCTTAAGCAAATTTTAGAGTACATAATTCTTAACTACAAAATTTCATAATAGTTATCATCAAAACATAGAGATATTATTAAGAACCAATCTGTGTTCTAACATAGGAGTCGGTTACGCAAGGGGAAGGTATGAGCACCCCTCACGTCCATTGTACTCAACGGGATCCACACTTATTGTTTATCAAAGAGGTGAGTTATCTAAAAGCTATTGTTAAACGGGGGATGGAAAAGAAAAAGGAGACTCGATAGGATATCGCCGCCCTATGCCTACGTATTCCCTCGTGCAATGGGAAAGTCAGAGTCAATGTAGTTCAGAAAACTACGGGTGATGGGGGGGGGGAGGTTGCTTGCCAAGACATCGTTGTCTTGTGTCTACGTATCATCATCTGGTATGAAAATCAGAGCAAATGTAGTTTGGGTAAACTAGACCACTGGTCGGTTAAGCGTTTTTTATGAGTGATGTTAAGTTCCCATTCCAGTAGTTAGGCACGACGCCTATTTGCGGTAGAATGGAAAAGTAACATACTCTTTTCTGAAAATGAGTTTGAAGAACAAATCCCGAAGGATAAAAGGTTTGAGTTTTGTTTGTGAGTTTTAGTGAAGTGGATTAGAGTTAGCTTGAGACTCACGTCGCACTAAAGACTATGACACGAGAGCGAATGTGTTTCATATTGCCCAATGGGCATACGCTAAACACTCTAGACAAGCAAGCAGAAACCCCTCACTCATTATTCCCCATGTATTTAAGGCTCATAGCGTACGACACTTATCGTTCTTTATTAAGTGTTTTGAAGAAATTTGAGATGAGAAAAGAGAGACACACAGAAGGTCTAAGGGAAACTGAAACCTAACTATTATCATACAAAATGGCCCTAAGATCACGATTAAGAGGGAAACCTACCTAATGTTGTCATGCTTGGATTAAAAGCCTAATGTCTCTCCTACCTCTAACTTAATCGGATATTAAGTCGAGCTAGGAATCCTAGAGGATCAAGTGAACACAGGGGTAATCAACAAGTAAACACGAAGCATCGCAATAACAAACAACATATAGTATTGAAACTCAGATTAAGATCCAAGAACAAAACCAATATTTACAAGTGTCAATAAAGAAAAGTCTTTACAAACGTACTCAACAATTAATTGAAACTAAAACCAATATTAAGAATAAAATTTGTATAAGATTAAAAGAGTTAATTAAGTCAAAATTGAAATCAAAGGTCTAATTAGGTCCTAAACAAAGGATTAATCCTAAGTTAATTAAATTCTAAACTAACTAAAAAAAACCTAAGTTAATTAAATTAAATCATAATCTAATTCTTAATTAAATTCTAGGATTAAAACTAATTCTAACGTTAATTAAAATAAACTAAAATGAAATCTAATTAAACCATAATTACTAAAGTTAAATCATAATCCTAAGATTGAGATTTAATTAGCAAAACAAATATTAATTAAAATAAAATTAAGTCAAGTTAATAAAATAAAAGTACAAAGATAAAATAAAAATGGGGGTGGGGATACAACAGCAGGCGTATGGGCCTTGCATTTAGCAGGCCCAAGAACTTATGAGGCCACGTGAGGGTGTGAAAAGGAAAAAAATGGTGCAAACATAAAAGGGCCTAGGCCCAGTCCGTGTTAGTATGAGCTAAAAGAGAGGGGAAACCCAAAATCTATGATGGGAACGAACATGGTGGAATCACCCTCAAAATTCACTTCATCTTCTTCGCCCAACCCCTTCCCCCTGTCCGGTCTCCTCACTGTCGCGCCGTCAACCCTCCTATCACCTCGACCCTTTCATGTTCAAACTCAACACTCTGTTACCCTCTCTCGCTCAACAAAAACTCCTCACTGTTCTATTTTCCTCGGCTACCTCACATATAGCTTCTGGCTCTCGCACCAATTCATCATCTCCGCGCCCTCACTATCTCCTTCTTTGACTATGAATTTCCTTTAATAGAACAGAACAAAACAAAACCTATTGGATCAACCGCGATCGAGCAACCTATCACGGTGAAACAAAGCTTCGACCATGGAGTTGGTTCCAAGCACAACTATATACATCTCAAGAGCAAAATTTGAAATGAAACATACCTGCGAAATAAAGATGAAGACGTGCGATGCCTCAGGTACGAATCTTTGACTCTTGCAGATTTGTTACGTTGTTGAATCCCCACTTTCTTCTTCTTCTTTGACTCTGCTACTCTGCATGTTTCCTTTGTTGGTTGGTGGTTCAAAATCTATCGCGTGTGAGTTGTTTCAGATTGAAAGTTGATTCAGAGTTGCAGAATTGATGACGGTTGAAGAATAACTCGCGAATCTTGTTGCGGCTGTGGAGATGAAAACGATGGTCGCGTAACAAAATGGGGTATTGAAGTTTGTTTAGTAGAGAGTGAAGATTTGATGAATAAAAGTGAACTGGAGATTTTCGCTCTCTCCTTTGTTCATTTTCTATTTGCTGCGGAAATTTTATGTTTTCTGGATATTCTCCTTCTCCTTGTTGTTGTGCGTCATTGCGAAGGATGCGTTAAATTGTTGGAGAGAGTTGATGTTGAATTCTCTTGCAGGTTGATGATACAATGGAGAAGGAATGGTGTTCAGGGAAATAGTTGAGCAGAAATTTGGGACAAAGAAAAGATGGAGATCAAAAATGGAAAGATGGCGCCTTGCCCTTTGGAATCTGTCACAGGTTTATTTTATACAAGAGTTTGGGAGGGGTAGGATAGTCTTTGAACTTGAATTCTGTTATAGGTTTTCTTCTGTCATTTCCAGTGTAATGATGAATTGTATTAGGGTGGTTGTACGATTTAGAGCAGGATGGAAAGTAGTGGCTTGCCTTTTCTGCATTCTGTTATGTACTTTTGTCATTTTGTGTTATGACTGATTTTCACTGTTAGGTGTTTTTGATTTACTGCTGAATGAATTTATCTATTAGTTTTTCCTACAATAAATTTCCCTTTCATTTTGTATTGAATTTTTCTATTGGGTTGTATCTACTTTCCTACATATATTAGTCACAACAGGTAACCCTAGCAAAACAACTGCAACCCTGAATGGCAAAATGTTAAGCTTCTAAAGACCGGGAGCCATGCTAAGCACCTTTTTCCCGTGATCCGGGTCGTACAAATCCCTTTTCTCAGTTGGGCGACTCATACCAGCGGGATCACGGCCGACAATATAGAAGTTGGCGCCAACATTTATCCACACCTTTGTGTGCCATTGCACTTCAGTTGGCCTTGCATAATGCATAGGTGACGGAAATATAACAACTATGGTCGTCTCAGGATCAAGAACTCCATCTTCTAGCACCTTGCTATGTTGCTCCATCCTAAAATCCAAGGGAACATCGCCGGCCTTTGTGAAACCTCCAAGAGGATGAATCAATAAAATCAGATTTTTGTAACCCATGTCTAATAGGTGTTGACGAGTATCGTTCATTAACAAGGCATGGCTGTTATGGACAAGATTTCTCAACTGAAAAGCAAAAACTGCATCAACTTTACGCCTATCGAATTCTCCGTGAAGCTTTTTGGGAGAGAGCCTGTAGTTATCAAGACCATCATTGTATTTGATAGGTTTAAAAACTTCCAAATCTCCTCCGATAAGAAAATTTCCAGACGAAGCAATGACTTCTTTGACATAAGGCAATCCTGGAGCAGTTGTTCCCCATGTTCTAGCAATTCTTTCTTCTTTGTTATGCTTGTAGATTCCAATGCTTCTAAGAATTGCAACACAATCTCCATCAGGCCCAACCAACCCAACATTATAAGAAGATCCAATTCTCCATTTAGTCTCATCATCAATAGACAATACAATAGGAAGTGACATATTAACAAAAGAACCATCATTCAACCTAAATGAATTAAAATGCAAACTTTGAAGATACTCATTTTCCCTCATGAACCCTTTCAAAGGACTAGCCCAACCTTCACCAATCACATGCACCCATTCAAAATCAACCTTTGTTAGTTTCACATTAGGAAGTGGCTTAGCTTCAAGTACCTTAGAATCTCTTCCATTTTCAGGCACCACAAGATCTACTAATACACCCCCACCTGTCTCAATTAAAGAGCTTTTGATCATGAAACTTTCTTGCATTCTTCTTTTCACTTTTTTACACTTTGTAACGATGAATGGTTTGTTATGGAAAATGGGTTTTGGAAGAAACTTAGTATTGTAACATAAAGTGTTGTTTTTTTTTATTAATTTGGTTGAGTTTATGGATTAAAAAATTAGTTAGATAAATGGATATCAAAAATGAACAAAAATGAGAATGATATGGATAAAGAAATTCAAAGTGGATATTTGTTTTTGGAAATTGGTGGAATGGCTTGGATAGGTAAGTGGACTTGAAAAATGGTTCTTTATCTTGAATTCCAAATAGCCCACATGACTAATTTCGGCGTGTCTAATTCCCATCAAACCTTCAATCCACACCACACTTCTGTTCTCAATGAATCCCAAAAATCCAAATTAGTACACTCAATTGATCAAAACTCGATGCCTTTCAAAACACTTCACAAATGCCTTATTTTGATGACCACTTGATCTCAACATGAAACCCTAATCCCATGACCCTTGATTGATGACTGTCCACAAATTCACCGATGAATGAGAAAACTCTAATCCATAACCCTTCTTAATTAACTCACATATGGCACCCCAAACATCTGATGCTTCTTGAGAAATCTTGGGGGAGATAAATGTGATACTTAATGATCTTTTGACAAATGTGCAGAATTCACCCCTTTGCTTCCACTTGACCGGAGTAAGAAACCACTGAATCACCTATGAATAACCCACACAAATAACAAGAAAAATACTGGGATCCCGCGTCTAGGAAGATCAATGAAAGGTATGTTTATGAGTCATGATATGATGATGCAAATGGGAGCGAAGCAAAATACAGTCAAGGTTAGAAAAGGGGGGGGGGAGTTTTAGGGTGCTACACATAGTAGTTACCACCTCGACTCTTTGTTAGACAACGACGTAGATCTAGAAGGGGGGTTGAATAGACCACTTGTTAAAAACAGAGTCGGCTCTTACCGAGAAGCGGTCGAGGAACTATATTCGTGTAAAACAAATCTTTACCGAAAAGATCAGATATACGCAAAGCCTATGGGATCCGATAAAAACGAGATTTTAGAATCACTAATTTGAACACACATCAATTAGATTTTATTCACTATAAGGTTGAACTGTTTCCAATGTGTGAAAAACATAACCCAATTGAAAAGACAACACAAGTGTTTGTGTTTACACAACCATTCGAACACTTGGTGTGCAAGGCACCACATGTGAATTTCAATATGTGAATGAAGTGCTATAGTATTCAATTGCAATCAAGGATTAAAATAGGGTTTCTAAAATGGTTCAACACTACACACATCAGAATTTTGATCAACTAAATTGTTTGCACACAAACTCAAAAGTTAAGCAATTGAAAAATAAAGAGAGAACACCAATTTGGTGAGGCAGTTCCCCTGTCGTCCTCGCTCGGGGTATGTCTGCCCTCAATTCTAGAAATAGAATTGAGACATATATATATATATATATATATATATATATATAT